CATAGTCTAAGGAAATGAGAGTCTATCAGAAAATGGACTAACTCATCTGTGAGATTTTTTATACAAACCTAATGGTAACCACTAAACAAACAATTAGAACAGAGACACATATGATAAACAAGGATAAAATGAAGAAAACCACCATAGAAAACTATCTAGTCAAATTGGTAGTTTGAAACACATGAGACGAGAAACAAAGGAAATGCAGAAGAACTGGAAAACGAGCCATAAGATGGCAGCATTAAGCCCTCATATATCAATAATCACTCTAAGCATAAGTGGACTGAATTCTCCAATAAAAGACACAGAGTGGCAGGATTAAAGAACAAGATCCAACAATATGCTGCCTCCAAGAAATGCATCTCAGCTCCAAAGACAAACACAGGCTCAGAGTGAAGGGATGGAAGACGATACTCCAAGCTAATGGCAAACAAAAACAAAAGCAGGTGCTGCCGTACTTCTATTAGACAAAGTAGACTTCAAGACAAGATAAGTAAAGAGAGACAAAGAGAGGCAGTATATAACGACAAAAGGGACACTCTACCAAGAACACATACACTTCTAAACATATACGCACCCAACACAGGAGGACGAAAGTACATAAAGCAACTATTAACAAACCTAAAATGATAAATCAACAACACAACAATAGTAGGGGACCTCAATATCCCACTTACATCAATGGATAGATCATCCAGACAAAGAGTCAACAAGGAAATAATGATATTAAATGAAAAGCTAGACCAGATGGACTTAATAGATATGTACAGAACTCTCCATCCAAAAACAGCAGAATATACATTCTTCTCAAGTGCACGTGGAATATTCTCAAGGATAGACCATATATTGGAAAACAAGGCAAATCTCAATAAATTTAAGGAGATTGAGATCGTACCTAGTATCTTTTCTGACCATATGCTGTGAAACTAGAAATCAATAACAAGAAAAAATCTGGGAAAGGAACAAAAATGTGGAGAGTAAACAACACGCTACTGAACAACGAATGGATCATCAAAGAAATAAAGGGAGAAATCAAAAAATATCTGGAGACAAATGAGAATGAGAACACACCATACCAACTCATATGGGATGCAGCAAAAGCAGTCCCAAGAGGGAAATTTAAAGCAACACAAGTTCACATTAACAAACAAGAAAAAGCTCAAATAAGCAATCTTAAACTACACCTAACAGAATTAGAGAAAGAAGAACAAACAAAGCCCAAACTCAGCAGAAGGAGGGAAATAATAAAGATTAGAGCAGACAGAAATGAAATTGAAACAAAAAAGACTGTAGAAAGGATCAATGAAACAAGGAGCTGGTTCTTTGAGAAGACAAACAAAATTGATAAACCCTTAACCAGACTCACTAAGAAAAAAAGAGAGAAGGCTCAAATAAATAAAATTAGAAATGAAAGAGGAGAAATTACAACAGATACTGCAGAAATACAAAAGATTATAAAAGAATATTATGAAAAACTGTTTGCCAAAAAACTGGACAATCTTGAAGAAATGGATAAATTCTTAGACTCTTACAACCTCCCAAAACTGAATCAAGAAGAAATAGAGAATCTGAATAGCCCAATCACAAGTAAAGAGATTGAAACAGTAATCAAAAACCTCCCCAAAAATAAAGGTCCAGGCCCAGATGGCTTCTCTGGAGAATTCTACCAAACATTCAAAGGAGATTTATTACCTATCCTTCTCAAACTATTCCAAAAAATTGAGGAAGATGGAAAAATGCCTAACACATTCTACGAGGCCAACATCACCCTGATACCAAAGCCAGGCAAGGACAACAAAAAGAAGGAAAATTACAGGCCAATATCACTGATGAACATAGATGCAAAAATCCTCAGCAAAATATTGGCAAGTCAAATAGAGCAATACATTAAAAAGATCATACACCGTGATCAAGTGGAATTCATATCAGGGACACAGAGAGGGTTCAGCATCCACAAATCAATCAACATGATATACCACATTAACAAAATAAGGAACACAAACCACATGATCATCTCAGTAGATGCAGAGAGAGCATTTGAAAAGATCCAACACCCATTCATGAAAAAACTCTCAATAAAATGGGTATAGGAGGAAAGCACCTCAACATAATTAAGGCCATATATGACAAACCCACAGCCAACATCACACTCAATAGGGATAAACTGAAAGCCATCCCTCTGAGAACAGGAACAAGACAAGGGTGTTCCCTCTCACCACTCTTATTCAACATAGTACTAGAGGTTTTGGCCAGAGCAATTAGGCAAGAGAAAGAAATAAAAGGAATCCAAATAGGCAATGAAGAAGTGAAACTCTCACTATTTGCAGACGACATGCTTTTATACATAGAAAACCCAAAAGAATCCATCAGAAAACTATTAGAAATAATCAACAACTACAGCAAAGTTGCAGGATACAAAGTCAACTTACAAAAATCAGTGGCATTTATATACTCCAATAACGAACTAACAGAATAAGAACTCAAGAATATAATCTCATTTACAACTGCAACAAAAAGAATAAAATATCTAGGAATAAATTTAACCAAGGAGGTGAAAGACCTATACAAGGAAAACTATAAGACATTATTGAAAGAAATCCATAACGACATAAAGAAATGGAAGAATATTCTATGCACATGGATTGGAAGGATAAACATAGTTAAAATGTCCATTCTACCTAAAGCTATCTATAGATTCAACGCCATCCCAATTAGAATCCCAATGACATTCTTCACAGAAATAGAGCAAAGAATCTTAAAATTCATATGGGGCAACGAAAGACCACTAACAGGCAAAGCAATCCTGAGAAACAAGAACAAAGCTGGTGGTATTGCAATCCCAGACCTCAGAATATACTACAAAGCTACAGAAATCAAAACAGCACGGTACTACAAAAACAGGCACACAGACCAATGGGCCAGAATTGAAAGCCCAGAAATAAAACCCCATATCTACAGACAAGTAATCTTCAACAAAGGAGCCAAGAACGTACAATGGAGAAAGGAAAGCCTCTTCAATAAATGGTGCTGGGAAAACTGGACAGCCACATGCAAAAGAATGAAAGTTGACCATTATCTTTCTCCATCCACAAAAATGAGACTCAGAATGGACTAAAGACCAAACTGAGACCTGAAACCATAAAACTTCTGGAAGAAAATATAGGCAGTACACTCATTGACATCAGTCTTAAAAGGATCTTTTCAAATACCATGTCTACTGGGACAAGGGAAACAATCAAAAAAATAAACAAGTGGGACTTCATCAGACTAAAGAGCTTCTGGAAGGCAAAGGAAACTAGGATCAAAATGAAAAGACAACCAACCAACTGGGAGAAGATATTTGCAAATCATGTATCTGACAAGGGTTTAATCTCCATAATATATAAAGACCTCATACAACTCAACAACAAAAAACCAAACAATCCAATCAAAAAATGGGTAGGGGATATGAACAGATATTTTTCCAAAGAAGATATACAGATGGCCAATAGGAACGTGAAAACATGCTCAACGTCACTAATCATCAGGGAAATGCAAATCAAAACTACACTTAGGTATCACCTTACACTCGTTAGAATGGCTATAATCACCAAGACAAAAAATAGCAAATGTTGGAGAGATTGTGGAGAAAAGGGGACCCTCATACACTGCTGGTGAGAATGCAAACTGGTGCAGCCACTATGGAATACAGTGTGGAGAGTTCTCAAAAGATTAAAAATAGAAATACCATAGGATCCAGCCATCCCACTGTATCCCACTACTGGGTATTTATCCTAAGAACTTGAAATTAATGATACAAAGAGGCTTATGCACCCCTATGTTCACTGCAGTGTTATTCACAATAGCCAAGACGTGGATGCAACCCAAGTGCCCATCAACCAATGATTGGATAAAGATGTATTGTATATACACAATGGAATACTACTCAGCCATTAATAAAGGACAAAATCGTCCCATTCGCAACCACATGGATGGACCTTGAGGGTATTATGTTAAGTGAAATAAGCAAGACAGAGAAAGACAAACACCAAATGATTTCACTTACTTGTTGAACATAAACTTATGCACAAAGAGGACAGTTTAACAGTTACCGGGGGAAGGGGAATAGGGGGTGGGCACAAGAGGTGAAGGGGCACACTTATGTGGTACTTGACAAATAATAATGTACAACTGAAATTCCACAATGTTACAAACTATTATGACCACAATAAAAAATAAATTTAAAAAAGGTGAGATTGGAAGCTAATATATGAAAATGAAAACACTAAACATTTCTTATATTGTGTTTGGATGTTGAGATTATGGGTGGCGTTTTTCTTTAATTGAACTGTGGCTATTACCATTTTGCTACATATTTTCAAAGCGGCATTTCTAAGTTAGCATTTTAAGACCTGGCTCCTCAGGTCTCTGACACTTGGGGCAAAGAGGCCATTGTCTTTTTCCATTTAACAACCTAAAAAGCTTCCCGATTTTGAAAAGCCAACTTCCTCCAGCAGACCCCAACAAAAGTCATTGTCTCGTGGGCCTCTGGGAACAATCCCCAACAAATGGCAAATCTGTCTAAACACACAACCGCCCCGGCCGCAGCAGCACTTGAGAGAGCAGGCCAGAATGGGAAGTGGTCAGCGAGCTCAGCCTGCGAGCAGGCAACAAGGGGCCTTTGTGAAGGGAACAAACGGCATCTCCCCTCACCAGGACGTTCCACAGCACCCCTCCTCTCCTGCCCCCACAACCCACAATGTGGATTGTGTTTTGCTTCATAAGCATATAATAAACTCCCTCTTAGGGTAACTGCTTCTTAGTTTTCGAAGTGAAAAACATTGCCAGGAGGAGGATGCAGGGAGCCTCAAGGAATCCTTACCTTCAGTCCATTAACTAGGTCCTGTCCACAGATTTCCCAAGACAATCCAGGGTGACTCCCCCTCTTAACTCAAAGTCTGCTTATGGCTCTATTTCAGACTCCCGGGATGGGCAGCACAGTTCGACAGGAATGCACCGGATAATTAAAGAGATGATTTTATTCAGGCTATTGCAACAGGGAGGACATTCATTAACGCAGAGGAACATCTCAGAGGGAAGGAAGGATGGCCTGGGGTTTTTATGAAGGCAAGGGAGTGGGAAGCAGAGTGGACAAGTCGTCATTTGTGAAGGGGGGATGAGAAAACGCTGAGTATGTGAAGGCAAGGTGGTCCTTTGCCGTCTCTCCACCATCCAGGCTCTCTGGAAGCAAATGGCTCAGATAAACTTCAACATGGTCAACACGTTACCAAAAATCTGGCCTCCCCTGTAGCTGAGAGGGGAGGAAATAAGTGATGAAACGAGGTCCCCAGTAGGCAGAGAAGGAAGGGTGGGGGGAGCGGACATACCTCCAGGAGCTCTTTGGGCAAGCTGAAATTTTACTCCCCAAATTCAGACATCTCCCCCTTCTCCCCGTCTATTCTTTTCTCCCTCTTTCTCTCAATTGGCAGGTGGGTGAGGATATTGTTGACCGAAATATCCAGAAAACTGACCACCACCAGAAGATTCCAGCCACATCCTTGGGGTTCCTGAAAGATATCTTTTGAAGAGAAAGAAAAGTTTAGACGCTTGAATAGCTACAGTCACAATGAAAGGTTATAATTTTCTTTGGCAGTAAGAATAGCCTTTTTCCTAACGTCTTCTTTGATAAAGACAAGTCTGCTTCCAGCACCCCTCATTTCAACCAATCCAGCCAGATGGGTGCATTTTTTGTTTGTTTGTTGTTGTTGTTGTTGTTGTTTTTGAGGAAGATTAGCCCTGAGCTAACTACTGCCAATCCTCCTCTTTTCGCTGAGGAAGACTGGCCCTGAACTAACATCATGCCCACCTTCCTCTACTTTATAGGTGGGACGCCTACCACAGCATGACTTTTGCCAAGCGGTGCCATGTCCGCACCCGGGATCCGAACCAGCAAACCCCGGGCCTCCGAGAAGCGGAATGTGCGAACTTAACCACTGTGCCACCGGGCCGGCCCCCAGATGTGTGAGTTTTTCCATTCACATGACACGGGGTTTAAGGGTGGAAGGAAAGATGAGCTGTTTCCCCCATTACTGACTCTTTCCACCCCGCAGAGACTGTTTGTGGAGGCTTTGTGTTGCTGGCTGTAGATAAAACAATTGGGGTGGGGGCCACTTTGGAAATAGGGGGAGGGGTGGGGATTCTTCCATCTGGAATCACAAGGCTCTTGGTGGCAGGGCCAGATGGAACCATGGTCTGTCTGTGGAGACAAAGCTTCTCTTTAAACTGGTCGTGCAAACAAGAATATGAGGTTTTTGACAACACGATGACCAAAAGATAGGAAACTGAGACTGGTTATGACATGCCAAGGGCAGATCACTCCGACTTTAGTGAATTAAGCCCTGAATGTAATTCAGCAAGGAGCTTCCTTGAGCTGATGAAAATAAGGATTGTAAAGCTTCGAATTCAAACTGGAACGTGAGCAAAACAACTCGCAGGCAGCCAGGCTCCATCCTCTGAACTCAAAGTCATCCTTCAGCTGGGAGCGAACATGCTTCCTTAACGCACCAGAACAATGTTGGGCTTAAATTACTGTAAAGAATTTTCTAAATGCTGAGTGTCCCTGTCGACACTGTTAATGAACATCCTCTAAGCTGCATTTAAGCCAAATTCCAAGGTATAATTAGGGATACTGAACAATGATACCATGTAGATTGCGAGTTTCCTTGAAGCTCCCAACATCCAATTAGAGGGGTGGTAGCAGATTTCCCAAAGCACAAGAGATGAAAACCATCTGTCACAGCCTGCTTCCTAAGTCCTTCCTTCCAGGAGAGCTCTTTGTGTCACCTAAGAATGCCAAAAGGAAGCCTTCTTGGCCCTCAAACCCTGTCTTCCAACGAGAGATCACTTAACAAGCTGTGTGCCCTGGAGCAGGTCACTTCCCCCATCTGAGCCTTCATTTTCTCATCCACAAAATGCAGCAGCTGGACATGAATCAGAGTTGTCAAACTTTTTAAAGCAGTAGAAACTTTTGTTTTCCCCAAAGGAAAACTTTAGGATGGAACCCAATTTGTAAATATCTTTTGTTACTTGGAGCATGTGTAAACAAGATGCTACTGATCAGACTGACAGAAATAGCTCAGCTCTGTGTGTCTTAAATCTGCAAATAGACTATCAGTTCAATGTACTAGATTGCTCCCTGCAAGTATTAAGTACTTTATAAATGTTGTGTAGGAAACAATGTGTGCTTGGATGGAAAAGCATGTATCATTAGACCACTCTCTTCTGGTTATCTGATCGAGATACTGTGGGGTCCTTTTCTTTGCCTTTGAGCTGTTTTACAACTCTCTAAATTATAGATAACTGGTAGCAATGCAAACAACTCTTCTTTATAGACATAAAAATAACTTCTGTCCCCGTGCATGTTCGATTGACTTCCCTCCCTATCCGCTACGGAAAAGCCAGATTCCTTCTATTTGTAAATTTATTTCAACATTCCTTTGCTCCGTATCAATTGGTGCTTCTTTGACTTCTCATTCGAACTGGCTGTAACATCTTACCAGCTCTCATTAATAACGAGCTAAATAAAGTCTCTAACATGTGTTCACTTACATCTGTACGAGAGTCATGATTTTAGCTTTCTTTGGAAATTACCTTATTTTGAAAATTTCCCAATATTATATCGTGATCCTCGCCAATTCTGATCAAACACACCACCTCCATATTGAAAGAGCCACGTTAAACCAGGCTTCCAAGTCTCAATAAATACCCCAAATTTGCCCTCCCATTGTGGGAGGTGCTGAGGCCCTGGGAAAAATAAACTCAGCCTTGTCTTATCAATAGTCTTGGTGATTTTGGGGAGATGGCATTCGATAGAAAGAGAAGACATTTGGAGGCAACTGTGTATGTGAGCTTGAGTTATTCAGGAGGGTTTCTTCCTTGCTCAAGTTCAGAGGGATGATAGCATAAATATTCTTTCTTTTTTCCTATATGGAAAAATCTAGAGTTTTGGGGGCTGGAAGGAATCCAGGAGATGACCTAACGCCTTCCTTCCCGTATGGATGAGGTCACTGGGACTCACAGGGGTAGGTCAGCAGGGGGCTGGGATTTGAATTCCAGTCCTGCAGCTCTGGGCCAGGCATCCCGCATTCATTCATTCCCTCACCCGCTCATTCATTTTAACCATCATTTACTGTGTGCTGGGCACTGTGCCACGTGATGAGTGCTCAGAAGTGGGGTCACATTTTTGAGATCTTTGCCCCCTTTTGCCCTCTGCCCCTTATAAGCAGATCCATGTTCTTTCCTCAAGAAAGCAGTGGAAGGGAAGAAGGTTGGGACTAGCCTGTGAGAAGTCCCAGCTGTCAATCCCCAAAGTCCAAACACTTGGGAAGAACAGAGAAGATATAGGGAAAGACCAAGAAATCTAGTTAAGGCTTTGTGGCCGGGGAACCAGGCAAAGAAAGGGTTACTGAGGATTTTATCCATAACTAACATGGCCTGTCAAATGTTTTTCAGAACAAGAAGAAACTCTATGTTCTGTTTTGCAGAAACTGATGTTCCCGGTTTGCAGATGTTGCTACCTTGCAGAGAAATTAACACACTTGCCCCAAGACCCCTGCAAATTGTTCCAGCTCCAAGCGTCCTAAAGCTACCTTAAGCTCATTAGCATCTTAAATTCTCCTCCTCTGGGAGGGTCCCAGCCCCCATTTCCAGATCAGGGGGTGTACACAGTGGCATGTTTACCTGCTACACATGTGCCCTGAAAGAGCACAGTTGTTACATGGCTGTTACAAATAGACCTGTTTCCTCTGCTCTCTTGTGGATGAAGTCTCCAGGGGCACTGAGCCCGGAGAGACACTGCGTTGGGTAACATCCCAGGTGTTCTCCATTGCTTGTGCAGGCAATAAAGCTTTTCTTCACCCACTTCTGCCTTGGTTGTGCTTTTTCAGCTCTGCACTCACCACGAGGCGAACCCATTAGGTTTGGTCACAGCTTTCCCTGGGCCAGTGGTAGAGGGGGCAGTGATGAGAACAAAGCAGGGCATGGGTCCCAAGAGGGCAGCAGACAGGGTCCTAGCAGGGCCCCGAGGGTCCTAGCAGGGCTCTGAGGTCCCTGTGCCACAAAGCAGCAGACAGTCCCTCACCCTCCCCAGGGCCATGAGGACAAGACTGAGGGATAGCTCAGGAGTGCCCTGTGGGACCAATAACCACAACCAAATGCCCTGACACCATTAGGGTCTTGGCACCATAAGACCCTGAAACTTTAAAAAAAAAAAAAAAAAAGAGGAAGAGTTGGTGCTGCAGGTAGCGGGGCAGACACTCAGAGCGGAGGAGGCTCCAGGATTTCTCCCCAGACTGTGTCAGGAGGACAGTGTCTCCTCTCTGTCAGTCTAGACGAATCAAACTCCTGACCATCACTGGAGGTAGCCACTCCATAGGAGACAATAACAATCCTACACTGGGTTGTAAGGAACTCCTCAATAAAGAGCGATGCTGAGCAAAATGATGCAGGGATGGCAGATGGTAGGGTTGCTTTTAAAATATGCCCTGGGGCCGGCCCCTTGGCCAGCCCCTTGGCCCAGTGGTTAAGTTCCACTGCGCTCGGCTTCGGTGGCCCAGGGTTTTGCCAATTCGGATCCTGGGCTCAGACATGGCACTGCTCATCAGGCCATGCTGACGCGGTGACCCACATGCCACAACTAGAAGGACCTACAACTAGAATATACAACTACGTACTGGGGGGCATTTGGGGAGCTAAAGCAGAAAAAAAAAAAAGAAGATTGGCAACAGTTGTTAGCTCAGATGCCAATCTTTAAAAAAAATCCTATATTCCTGTTAAAAAATAAACAAATAAATAATAAAATAAGCCCCGATCTTCCCAGCAAAGTGTTTTCTGAGTGTTACCGCAGCCCAGCAACAGGGACCAGAGCCGGTGAGGCGGAGGGAGGTCTGCCTGGAGGGGGCGGGGGAGGGGAGCACACGCAGCCTCACTTCTTCTTTCCCCAGTCTCACTTCCTCTTTTCCCTGGACAGCAGATGTGACCCTGGGCTGACCCTGCAGGTGCTCCCTCTCCCCTGCTGGCTGCTGGACAGATCTCACATTCCAGTCTTTTCCACTTCCCAAGAGGACCAGACTTTCAAAAGGGGGAAGGAAGGAAGGAAAGAAGGGGAGGGGGAGAAGGGATCCTAAGAGAATGGAGAGTTCAGCAGAAGAGAAAGGTGGGGGGCAGATTGATGGGGAAGGGAAAATCAGACAGGAAGAGAGAAACGAGTGAGTAACAATTGTGAAACTTTGGCACCTGAGGCCTCCCCTTCTTTTGGTCAGCTCTTGCCTGGGGGCCAATCACAGGGGGCTTAGGAGGGCTGTGTGCCGCTCTCACATTCATGTAGCGCCACACATTTAGATTTGCAAAGACCTCCAAATGAAATACTGAGAGGCACAGACCTGCATTTTACAAAGACGATGCTCAACCTTCAACTTGAAGCTTGTCCCCACCCTGGGTGCCCCGAGCTGCAGTGCGCCATGAGTCACAAATTTAGTGATCATTGCATCCAGTTGTTTTTTTTTGTTTTTTTTTTGGAGGAAGATTAGCCCTCAGCTAACTACTGCCAGTCCTCCTCTTTTTGCTGAGGAA